AAGGTCTTGTGATCTAAACGTGCTCTTGGTTAGGGTACTATCAAAGGTCTTGTGATCTAAACGTGCTCTTGGTTAGGGTACTATCAAAGGTCTTGTGATCTAAACGTGCTCTTGGTTAGGGTACTATCAAAGGTCTTGTGATCTAAACGTGCTCTTGGTTAGGGTACTATCAAAGGTCTTGTGATCTAAACGTGCTCTTGGTTAGGGTACTATCAAAGGTCTTGTGATCTAAACGTGCTCTTGGTTAGGGTACTATCAAAGGTCTTGTGATCTAAACGTGCTCTTGGTTAGGGTACTATCAAAGGTCTTGTGATCTAAACGTGCTCTTGGTTAGGGTACTATCAAAGGTCTTGTGATCTAAACGTGCTCTTGGTTAGGGTACTATCAAAGGTCTTGTGATCTAAACGTGCTCTTGGTTAGGGTACTATCAAAGGTCTTGTGATCTAAACGTGCTCTTGGTTAGGGTACTATCAAAGGTCTTGTGATCTAAACGTGCTCTTGGTTAGGGTACTATCAAAGGTCTTGTGATCTAAACGTGCTCTTGGTTAGGGTACTATCAAAGGTCTTGTGATCTAAACGTGCTCTTGGTTAGGGTACTATCAAAGGTCTTGTGATCTAAACGTGCTCTTGGTTAGGGTACTATCAAAGGTCTTGTGATCTAAACGTGCTCTTGGTTAGGGTACTATCAAAGGTCTTGTGATCTAAACGTGCTCTTGGTTAGGGTACTATCAAAGGTCTTGTGATCTAAACGTGCTCTTGGTTAGGGTACTATCAAAGGTCTTGTGATCTAAACGTGCTCTTGGTTAGGGTACTATCAAAGGTCTTGTGATCTAAACGTGCTCTTGGTTAGGGTACTATCAAAGGTCTTGTGATCTAAACGTGCTCTTGGTTAGGGTACTATCAAAGGTCTTGTGATCTAAACGTGCTCTTGGTTAGGGTACTATCAAAGGTCTTGTGATCTAAACGTGCTCTTGGTTAGGGTACTATCAAAGGTCTTGTGATCTAAACGTGCTCTTGGTTAGGGTACTATCAAAGGTCTTGTGATCTAAACGTGCTCTTGGTTAGGGTACTATCAAAGGTCTTGTGATCTAAACGTGCTCTTGGTTAGGGTACTATCAAAGGTCTTGTGATCTAAACGTGCTCTTGGTTAGGGTACTATCAAAGGTCTTGTGATCTAAACGTGCTCTTGGTTAGGGTACTATCAAAGGTCTTGTGATCTAAACGTGCTCTTGGTTAGGGTACTATCAAAGGTCTTGTGATCTAAACGTGCTCTTGGTTAGGGTACTATCAAAGGTCTTGTGATCTAAACGTGCTCTTGGTTAGGGTACTATCAAAGGTCTTGTGATCTAAACGTGCTCTTGGTTAGGGTACTATCAAAGGTCTTGTGATCTAAACGTGCTCTTGGTTAGGGTACTATCAAAGGTCTTGTGATCTAAACGTGCTCTTGGTTAGGGTACTATCAAAGGTCTTGTGATCTAAACGTGCTCTTGGTTAGGGTACTATCAAAGGTCTTGTGATCTAAACGTGCTCTTGGTTAGGGTACTATCAAAGGTCTTGTGATCTAAACGTGCTCTTGGTTAGGGTACTATCAAAGGTCTTGTGCGTCCGCTGTACAGTATAGTCATGTAGATACTGTACCTCCCTGTGTTAACCATTTGTTTGTGTGCGTGTGTGTGTGTGTGTGTGTGTGTGTGTGTGTGTGTGTGTGTGTGTGTGCACGTATGTGTGTGTGTGTGTGTGTGTGTGTGTGTGTGTGTGCGTGGGTGCATGCGCACGTGCGTGCGTGTGTGCACGTGTGTGTGTGTGTGTGTGTGTGTGTATGTGCACGTGTGTGTGTGTGTGTGTGTGTGTGTGTGTGCATGTGTGTGTGTGTGTGTGTGTGTGCACGTGTGTGTGTGTGTGTGTGTGTGTGTGTGTGTGCACGTGTGTGTGTATGCATGTGTGTGTGTGTATGCACGTGTGTGTGTGTATGCACGTATATGTGTGTGTGTGTGCCTGCGTGTATGTATGTATGTATGTGTATGTGTATGTGTTAGGATGCACTGTACAGTCACTGTGCTGACATGAATGAGAAGCACGGAGAGCCCAAGGCCGTACAGATGGTGATCCAGTTCATTGATCGGGCACGCGTCACCCTGAACGACGTCAGCTGGAACCAGCAACCGGCCGCTAACGTCAGCGTCCTGGAAGCGGTGTCGGGAATCCGCTTCGGATTATCCTACGCTGCTGAGCACATCTGCCCGATGATCCGAAAACTAATGTCACCCGGACAACAACAACAACAACAACTACAGCTACAGCAGCAGCAGCAGCAGCAGCAGCAGGCGGAAGACCGCGACAGTGCACACGCGGGTGTCCGCAAGCTGCGCATCGCTGTCGACAACCTGATCCACGCCGTCCAGGGACTGTGCAATGACTGCGACGGCACGGCCAGCACCATACGCATTTTCCTCATCAAGCAGATCGTGCGGCGCATCGGCCTGGATACGTTCCGCGAGGCGATGGACAACGACGCTACCAAGCCAGAGTTTGGCTGGATCATGCCCGACAAGCTGAGACCCGAGGCGGGAGAGGAGGCCGTGCCCGATCGCTTCATCGTCCACGGCGACGCGTACGTGAAGACACGTGAGGCCACCGCCGGTGTGGCTCTCAACACCGACATAGCGCAGCTAACCACAGCCGTAACGTGTAGCTCTCCCGCGAAACGTATCTACGCCGTCGAGCTGGTGCTCGCTCTCTACCGCGAGGTAACCATGTGCCACGCCGAGTCTGAGGACAGCCATCCGCAGCTTCCCAACGCCACGCAGAAACTACATGAGTTCATCCAGCAGACGGACCTGCTGAGCCGCGGCGGTAAGGAGCTGGCAGCGTTGCTCATCGACAACACACAGGGTGCCGGCTTGCAAGCCATGCGAGTGCAGCCAGCACAGAGCGGCAACGTACGCTCCGTGTCGGCCCTGGTCGTGCACTTCGTCACCGTCCTGCAGGAGTGCTCGCAGCGCAATCGCGTCCTGGAGGTGTTCCACCGCCTGGCGTTCGACCCCACCGCTATGCACGCCGCCTTCCTGCCCACAATGCCCGAGGACCACCTGCAGGAGGCGCGAACCGCCATCGGGGGAGCGTGGTACGAGTGCCCCAACGGCCACCCGTACCACATCTCCGAGTGCGGCCAACCCATGCAGGACTACACGTGTCCGGATTGCGGGCAGCGTATCGGCGGTGGTAAGCATCGTCTCATCAATACCAACCGACAGGCACGCACCGGTGACGCCACACAGGCCGGTCACCTGCTGGGACAGGCACAGGGACGCAGCACGGCTGCGGTGCCCGAACGCGAGCTGGGCCCGGCCATGACGGTGCTCACGCGCCTCCTCATGCACCTGGCCCTGGTGTGGAGCGCGTCGTGCGGCAATCCGCAGCAGCTGGCCTCGCTCGGCGAGATGTGCAAGCCAGGAGTACCTGCACAGCGTGTGGCCGAGTTCTTCTGGGCACACCTGGACGTGGACATCCGCTGCTTTGCGCAGGCCATCGGCAAAGGACTCGATCAGACGCTGCTGGCGCTGCACTTCTTCTGCGCGCAGATCTGCAAAGAGTGCAAGTCGAACCAGGCTGGCAATTTGGACTCGGCTCTCTCGTCGCGCATTGCACGCGTAAACTGGGAGCGTGCCTTCCACCAAGACTTCCTGGCCGCCTTTCAGAAGGCCATGGAGGAGGGCGTGCGCGACGGAATGCAGCGGCTGACCGGTGACCATCGCCTAGGTAACGATAAGCTGATGAAGTCCGTGTTCGAGGTGGACTCGGCCACGCCCGTACTGGAGGTGGCCGCGCACGAACGCCACCTGACGCCGCGTCTCTGGCGCTACCGCGTGCGTCCGAGCATCGACGGCCTGGCCGTGCAGCTGGTGTCGCGCAAGGACAAGTTCCCGCTGCTGCACGCCTTCCTGGAACATGAGCACCAGCTCAAGGCTCTGCAGCACCTGCCCGAGATCGTACAGCTGCAGCGGCAACTCATCGACCGCTTCAGCCGTCGCATCAACCGCCAGTCGGCCAAGGAGAACACCATCAAGACGTACATAAAGGAGCTGGGCGAGGTAGAGCGAGAGCGCGCTAGAGAGATGATTGCGGCCTACGAAGACGCATGGATGCTGGTGAGAGCAGCGCTTATGATGATGATGGTTGTTATTGTTGTTGTTGTGTGCACGTTGCTTACTGCAGTATGTGAATGTGACGTTATTGTGTGTGTGTGTGTGTGTGTGTGTGTGTGTGTGTGTGTGTGTGTGTGTGTGTGTGTGTTAGTTTGTGTGTTTGTGTGTGTGTGTGTAAAAACATGGAAAAATGAAAAATAAGGATTCACTGGCCAGAAAAAGTCACTTCAATCAGCTGTGTGGTGGATACCAGGCTAAACATAGTGGAGGTCAATTCATCAGCCTTTCAAGCTGTTGAATGGTGTAATCCCAGCACAAGTTGCTATGTCTAACATAGCTCTTCGCTATCATCGCTGCCGCGATGGGCAGGTCTGAGGTGTGTGTGTGGGGGGGGGGGGGGGCGTGCATGTGTGCATGTGAATAATGCAGTGGTGTGATCTAGGGCTGCAACGAATATTCTATTTCACAAACGACCGAATACTCACCCATAACGAACGAATTACAAATATTCTCTCAAAATGCTGAATTGTTTCTAAGGGTGAAACAACTATTTTAGATAGGAACGAAATCGATTTTCTTTGTAAACGAATCGAATAGTCTATACTAGGGGTGAAACGGGTGATCCGGGTACACGGGTACCCGTTCGTTTAGCTGCCGATCCGTTAGCAAACGAGTACCCGTTAGTCGTGTACGACAGTACGGTACGGTGCTGACTTGCACAGTCGTACATCGCACAGTTCGGTGTACAGTTTGAGCGGGTTGTTCTTGATTGATCTTGCTACATGTGACCGTTTTGCATGTAGCGCAGTGCATGCAGTGTACTTGTCACTCGTAGGTCTACTTGCATATCATCCTGGAGCGAAATCCGGAAGGTACTAGTAACTGTCGTCTCTAAAAATAGTTTCCAACCGCTGGATAAGAAGACCTTATCAAGCCTGTTTGCAAAGTGCCGCCACTTAGTTGGACATTTCAAGCATTCCGCCTTGAAAACTGGCCAGCTTGAAGATAAGCAACGTCTGGTTGGTGCGAAGGAAGTGAAGCACCTGGTTCAGGATTGTGCAACAAGATGGAACAGTGTGTACCAGATGTTGGATCGTCTTGTCCAGCTCAAAGTGCCTGTGCAGTTGGTCCTTGCGGATATGCCAGCCAAGATCGCCGCTCCATGGACTTGTCCGCAGACCAGTGGGCCACTGCTGAACATCTCCTCGATTTCCTGAGGTCGGTGGACCAGGTGACGACATCTTTGGGCGGTGAGCAGTACTCAACCCTGTCCTGGCTTCTTCCCCTACTGACGTCACTGAAATCCCATTGCCAGACCGGAGATGATGACGACCTGCTGGTAGTGGCATGCGTGAAGCAGGCATTTGCGGATAGTATAACTAGGCGCTTTCATTTGGATGGCTTAGATGTTCACGGAGAGGCAGTGCTTGCTGCTGCGTTGGACCCTCGGTTTCGGGCTCTAAAGTTCCTTGACTTGGAGCAGCAACATGAAGTGCAGCAAACGCTCATCAGCTATGCAAGTGTCGGCTGCTCGCCCTGCACGGAATCTTCAAGCTCTAGCTCCGAGCCACCAGCAAAACGCCGCTGCCTCCTGGATCAGCTGCTTTGCGACGACGGTGAGGATGAGGATAGCGAGGGATCCATCGAAGCAGAGGTAGCAGCTTATCTGGCTGAAAAAGCCAGTCAAGCGCTCTGTTGACCCTCTGTTGTGGTGGAGCACAAATGCTGCCCGATTTCCCCGCCTGGCTCCACTCGCACGGAAGTACTTGTGCATTCCAGCAACTTCTGTTGCATCTGAGCGCGTGTTTTCCTTTGCTGGGCAGATCGTCGACAAACGCCGGAGCAAGTTGTCTGCAGAAATGATCGATGGACAAGTCTTTCTGCACAAGAACGCCCACATCATCGATGTACGAGTTCCTGCACCACCGAAGCCGGCCATGCCACTTGTCTTGGCTGCAGTCGAAGACGATGATGAACCTTCACTGCCAGATCTTCCTTCACAGCCAATTGAATTATAGATAGTTCATGCTCTCTCTCCCTGTGTGTGTGTGTGCGTGTATGTGCATGTGCATGCGTGTATGTGTGTGTGTGTGTGTGTGTGCCTGCCTCTCTCTCTCTCTCTCTCTCTCTCTCTCTCTCTCTCTCTTTCTCTCTCTGTTTCTTTTTTTCTCAAGAAGAAGATTCATTCTGGTTAGAAATGCTTCCAGAATGCCCGTAAAAGAGGCGTTGTGCTTACGTTCATAACCAGTGGCAATGCAGTGGCAATGTTCTTGTAAAAAGTGCATGGCTTGCTAAAGGGTACCCGATAACCCGCCCGTTAAGCCAGGTACCCGTTTGTTAGCTTAAAGGGTAACCGTTTCACCCCTAGGACTCTATACCAAAAGAACCTTAGAAAGAGTTTGGCTAGTCCTCAGTTGTTCTAGACCAAGTAGATGTCTAGTGGAGTCATGTCCACTACTCTTGTGAGTCATAGTCTCCTTTCTCAACACATAACACAGTATATATCACTCCGTCCCTTCTAGAATTACTACAATAGATCGACTCAAGAGCAGAGTGTGTGCACGTGTCAAAACGGACGAATATTCTACAGGGGAAAATATTCCTTCCATCTGGTTCCGAACGAACATCAATCGAATATTCGAATATTCCTTGCAACCCTAGTGTGATCATGTACACACACCGACCCGGTCGCTCTTGATTATAATTTTCTCTGTACATGTTCTTGTTTCAAAAGGCGTCCAATACAACCGGCCAACTTCTGTCCACAGGACATGACTCTGCGTGCAGTTGCCTTCTAACTGTGTTGTCATTCTGTGTGTCTGTTTGTCTGTCTCTCTGTTTGTTTGTCTGTGTGTCTGTCCGTGTGTCTATGTGTGTGTGTGTGTGTCTGTTTGCTTGTGGATTTTTCAACTGTTGATGTGTTAGGTGCGTGAGCCACTGTATAACCACGGTCGCTTGAAGCCGTCCGAGGATTGTCGCTACGATCACATTCACCGGAAATCGCCGCTCGAGTTCATCCTGCCCACGACGGAGGGATTTGGCCGCAACCCCACCGGACTGGTGGACTTCCTTGTGATGACGCACAACGAGTTCATCGAGCGCTGCGCCCACATCCGCGGCGTTCCCGTGCGCGAGCTGCCGCGCGTGCTCCTCTCCGAGGCCACGCACGCCCAGCTGGTGTCTTACGACACCGGGCAGCACCTGATGCCGCTGATCCTGGCCCACTGTCACTACACGCTGGAGGCCGGTCAGGGCCTGGACGTGCAGTACGACTGGGCAGCGCTGGAGCGACAGCTCGAGCAGCGCTTCGTCATCGGCCGCCCGCTGATCGAGCCGCAGGAGGTGCGCCTGGTGTACAGCGAGGACGTGCACAACACCACGCAGATGCAGGCGCTGCGCGGACGCATTCCGCAGACCGAGCTGACGCGCTCCGTTCGTCAGCAGGTGGCCGCTGAACTGGTGGACGTCACGGATGTCTGCACGGTTCTCAACGGCCTGGAGGTCTGCATCGGCTTCCTGATGGCGTCTGGCGGTGAGAGCAGCATGCTACTGGCCACCTATATGGAGGACGTGCTCAAGATGAACCCCGAGCACGCGCTGATCAGCCGCAAGCTGCGTCGCGCCTGCCAGCTGCATCACATCCTGTCGGCGTGGCGACTGATGATGGTGCAGCGCACGCACAAGCTCCTAGAGCTCAAGCAGGACGCGTTTGAGCCGGTAATGGTTATCTTCACCAAGCCAATGGATGACGGAGAGCTACTGGACGAGCTCAACGAGTGGCTGAACAAGCCACAGCGCCGCACACATCAGTGGCGTGACCTGTTTGTCGCCCAGCTGCTGGAGTTCATCATGATTGAGCTGAGCGAGCGTCACGCCGAGCGTAACGTCAAGTGGGCCGACTACCCGCTGTGCGATGCTCTGCTTGACACCGGCATTGTGGTTGCCATGGGAGACGGAGACGGCGACGGTGGTGCCGAGCAACTGGAGGGGTTCCCGGAGCTGATCGAGTGTCGCCATGCTGTGGCCGTGTGGCAGGTGTGCGCAGGAATCGGCGGTGCGTCTGCTGCCGCTTCAAACTCCTCCGTGACTGGCGGTACGGGTGCTAACGCCAGGCGTATGTTCTAAATGTGACGACCACCTCTTCCGGGTCAACCGCCTCTCCTGGTCAACCGCCTCTCCGGGTCAACCGCCTCTCCCGGGCCAACCGCTTACGATGAACGGTCTTGGGCTCGCATGCTTTCTGCTGTAGGTGTTTGCTACTTCGAGTTCAGTGCGGTGTCGAGTGCCACGTTAGAACCTGCAACCATACCTGAAATAATAATGATGTGTTTGTGTTGTATGTGTCCGGATGGGACGTCCGTATCATGTGATAATGTTTCTTGTACTAAATTAACTCTGCATTGACTGTACTGCAATGTGGGAGAACCCGCAACCATACCTGAAATAATAATGATGTGTTTGTGTTGTATGTGTCCGGATGGGACGTCCGTATCATGTGATAATGTTTCTTGTACTAAATTAACTCTGCATTGACTGCACTGACAATGTTCCTTCAGTCATGTAATCTGCAGTCATGTGACCTGCGGTGTGATCAGTCACGTGACCTGCAGTGTGATCAGTCATGTGACCTGCAGGGTGACCAGTCACGTGACCTGCAGTCATGAAACCTGCGACCCATGTGATCTGCAGTGACGTGACCTACCGGATGTGTTGTATTATCAACAGTGCACGTTGCTTATGATCATGTGGTGTGTGTGTGTGTTATTTGCCCATATATGGCCATGTGTAAATAATAGTATTATTGAATTTATTGTGCCATGTTTTTAATTTATCTCATCATATATACCATGATGTATGTCTGTGGCGCCGAACACATCGCTGCACAAGCTTCCCTTTCAGCCGTGCTGCTGATGATGTTGGTGCTGCTGCTGCTTAGCATTCAGTCAGTAGCCACAGACAAGCGGAGGACATAGGACTCGTGACACGCATGCGCCCACGCATGCGTATGCTTAAGCTGACTACCCGCGCTGAGTGCTGTATGGTGTTGCTGCTGCCATTGCTACTGCCACTGTTGCTGCCAGTGGTGGGTAGCAGTGGTGGCCGCTGTTGTTCACGAAGTATGCAGAGTTGCTGCTGCTGCTACTGCAATGAACCCATCATTCTGTCGGCGTGTAGGACTGGACTTCCGTCGCCGCTGTTGCTGCTGCTGCTGTGTGCGGATGTGCAGTCATCTCGCCACTCTGCCATCTGCCCCTCCTTACTACCTTAGCACGCTGTCGGTGTTGATGGCGTCTGGCGCTTCGCTGCATATCCTCGTTTACCTGGTCTGCTGTCGTTATTTCTCTCCCCGTATCATGAATGTGCATCCCCATCTGTTGTTGGCATGTGTGCGTGTGTGTGTGTGTGTGTGTGTGTGTGTGTGTGTGTGTGTGTGTGTGTGTGTGTGTGTGTGTGTGTGTGTGTGTGTGTGTGTGTGTGTGTGTGTGTGTGTGTGTGTGTGTGTGTGTGTGTGTGTGTGTGTGTGTGTGTGTGTGTGTGTGTACCCGGTTTGTTAACGCATGATTTTACCCATCTCGACTGGCTCGCGATCATTCCCTTACTGTTCGTGACTGCATCGCACAGGACACCATTGAAGTTCTGCTGCTATTGCTGTCAGACAGCCATGCATTCCATACTGCTTTTCCTATCTCTTTCTCACTGCACACGTTTTACGGTCATGCATGTATCACATTTCTCGTGCCAATTCTCGATTATGAATATGCATGGCATGTGCAAGAAAGTAGAAATGTCACTTTGCATTTGCAACGTTTTTTTTGCACATTAGCTTTGCTGTTGCATCTCCCCCTGGTTAGTCATGATCTGTCTGGCAGTCTTGCTGTTGCTCAATTGCGTGTGTGCATGTGCGCCTGCGTAATCCATGCCACTTCTAATTCGTGCATAGCTTGTGCCTTCCCCGTGGCGCTCTCACTTTTCTCGTTGCACCTCTAGTAGATTCTCTGCACTCATAATTCACCGCTTTTACCAAGAGTACATAACCACTGATAATGTACTCTTGCTTTTACTTGTGTACTCTTTTCATTGTTCATTTGTAAGGCTATCTCTTTGATAGTTGAGTGGCATGGCAAACTAGATTTCTGATGTTGTTGGCATTTTTTCTTCTTTTTTCTTTCTTTCCTTTTTCCTTAAAAAAACTATTTTGAGTGCTGGTCACTGCAAAGAGTGGCGGTTTGATTTGATTTTCTAACATGAATTATGATGAACTGCACACGCTTTCCGACTCTAGTGGTTTGTCATCAGTGAATGTGTTTACGTGTGTGCGCGTGCGTTTGTGTGCTTGCGTTTGTGTGTGTGTGCGTTTGTGTGTGTGTGCGTGCGTGTGTGTGTAGTATCAAGAGTACATAACGTACTCTTGGTGGTATGCAGGGTTCTAGCCACGTGAAAGTAGTGTGTGTGTGTGGGGGGGGGGGGGGGCAGAGCTAACTGTAGCCCTTTTTTTCCATTTTCCAAGAAATCTTGCCATGCAAAATGCAACGTAGGGCCTAGGGGTGCGAACTAGGGCCCGGTGTAATATGCCCGAAACTTTGCACTCTGTCTGCTGGGTCCCTCCCCGCCTGCCATCCACTTGTGTGTGTGGCAAGGCATTTAAAGGGGAAGTTAAGGCAAAAATTAAAATTTCACCAGTTGTAGTCTTCGGGGTGCTGAGTCGAATGGTCGTGGTCCGAGGAAGCTGAGACGCTCCCTTCCTACTTGAATCCCAATCGAACTCGCGCACTTCCACCGAAACTGGGTGACTGCGCCCTACTAGATGGGGATTTGTATGCAAAATGTCACTAAAAGCGCCATTTCGTTCTTATAAAAGCATGGATGACCGCGATTGGCCCATATGTTGTAGTCTTTTGGACGCTGAGTCGACTGGTTTTGGTCCGAAAAGGCTGCGATGCGGCGTTCCTCCTTTATTCCCAATCGAACATGGTTGAAGAAGCGGTCACGTGCTCCTGCGTACACCAGTCACCTGGTCACCGTGCCTGCAGGGTACAACTTACTAGCCTGTTTTGACCTTTTTTGGGTGCAGTCCTGTCACTCGAGTTGAACTCGAGTTGAACCTTGGTGTGAAAGTTGTCACCTGCTGGCGTGGTGACCAGGTGATTTGAGCACCCAGCACCACGTGACCGCTTCTTCAACCATGTTCGATTGGGAATAAAGGAGGAACGCTGCATCGCAGCCTTTTCGGACCAAAACCAGTCGACTCAGCGTCCAAAAGACTACAACATATGGGCCAATCGCGGTCATCCGTGCTTTTATAAGAACGAAATGGCGCTTTTAGTGACATTTTGCATACAAATCCCCATCTAGTAGGGCGCAGTCACCCAGTTTCGGTGGAAGTGCGCGAGTTCGATTGGGATTCAAGTAGGAAGGGAGCGTCTCAGCTTCCTCGGACCAAGACCATTCGACTCAGCACCCCGAAGACTACAACTGGTGAAATTTTAATTTTTGCCTTAACTTCCCCTTTAACACCAGCCATGCTCTTTCGTGTCCAACTGGTGGATACCCGGCTCTCCGCCATAACACGATCCGCGACCTGACAGCCGACCTACTGCGTGAAGTGGCAACGGATGTGAAGATAGAACCTCCTCTGCAGCCCCTGGAGGGTGAAAGGCTCCGGTATCGCTCTGCCATCTTGGAAGATGGTGCTCGTCTTGATGTGGCGGCATCTGGTGTCTGGGGAAGTCGTTTTGAGCGCACGTTCTGTGATGTTCGGGTTTTTAACCCTCATGCGCGCTCGAACACTTCCTCAACTCCCGCGTCCATCTATGCCAAGCACGAACAGCAGAAGAGAAGGGCCTACGAAGAACGCGTCAGGGAGGTGGAGCATGCTTCCTTTCTCCCACTGGTATTCATATATGTACATGCAGCGCCTGCCTGGCCCAAGCTAGCTGGCCTGGCTGGCCTGCACTCAACCCACGCAATTGTATTTTCAAAAATGATAAAAAAATTCTTTGTTCTCAAACTGTTTGCCAATGCGACGAGCGTTTGTCATCGACGTTGGAGCTCTGCGCTTGAGTTGTTGTGCTGACGCTACTTGGTCAGGAGATAAGACGGGTGATGAACACAAACGAAGGTCGCTCAGCAGGCCAAGGAAAAGCAAATTTCCTAGAGTTACGTCCAAGCTCGTTTCAAGTCCTGCAGTATTTGAGCCAATTGAGGGGAGTGAAAGCGAACACGAGTCGCAGGCTGATGGAGCTGGTGAGGGCGTAGAAGATGACTCTGATCTTCCAGCTGATTTTTTATCCAGTGATGGCTCGTGTGATAACGATGGAGATTAGTCTGAAGAGGATTGCGATGATATTCCATCAGGAAATCGAATTGTTCACATGCAGAGCTTACAGCAATTGGTGACGTCAGCGTGTGTATGTAGTAATTATCAAGAGGGCAACCTGACTATCAAAGATAATTTTCGTCATGGCCTCCCCTCAACAATTAGTTTGCAGTGCGAATCGTGCTGCTCATCAACCAGTGTAGCCCTGGCAGAAAGACACCCACTTGCTAAATTGTACGATGTAAACCGCCGCCGCAGTGTGCTTGCCATGCGCCTTATTGGTAGTGGACGAGAAGGTCTGAACAGTATCTGTGGGATATTGGATATGCCGCCTCCTGTTAGCAAGTCCAATTCTGGGCACAGCGATGCACTACACACTGCTGTGGAAACTGATGCTAGGGACAGCATGAAGAGTGCTGCACAGCGTCTTCTTGTTCGGCGAACAACAGAACAGCATTCCCACCCGGAGCATGTTGCAGTTAGCACCGATGGAACGTGGATGAAGCGTGGATTCTCATCAATGTTTGGTATGCCAACTGTTGTGTCCTATGAGACAGAAAAGGTTCTGAACGCGGAGGTGCTATCAAAACACTGCAGTGGATGTGAAACTTGGAAGAACAGATGGCAAGCAAGAAAGATTTCTAATGCTGAGTACGAACAATGGAAATGTTTTCGGCTGTGCTGGAAATGATGAGCTGCTCTAAGGGTTAACTTGCCAGCTCTGGTCTTCTCAAGTTGGATGAAGAGAAGCAGTATCACAGGAGGAGAAGGTCCAGTGAGGAGCAAAAGTCAGCCAGGAAGAGAAGAAGAGCCATTCGAAAGGGATTTGCTGACACGATACAGCAAGCAGAGGTAGTCACATACATGCATTCCATACTGCTTTTCCTATCTCTTTCTCACTGCACACGTTTTACGGTCATGCATGTATCACATTTCTCGTGCCAATTCTCGATTATGAATATGCATGGCATGTGCAAGAAAGTAGAAATGTCACTTTGCATTTGCAACGTTTTTTTTGCACATTAGCTTTGCTGTTGCATCTCCCCCTGGTTAGTCATGATCTGTCTGGCAGTCTTGCTGTTGCTCAATTGCGTGTGTGCATGTGCGCCTGCGTAATCCATGCCACTTCTAATTCGTGCATAGCTTGTGCCTTCCCCGTGGCGCTCTCACTTTTCTCGTTGCACCTCTAGTAGATTCTCTGCACTCATAATTCACCGCTTTTACCAAGAGTACATAACCACTGATAATGTACTCTTGCTTTTACTTGTGTACTCTTTTCATTGTTCATTTGTAAGGCTATCTCTTTGATAGTTGAGTGGCATGGCAAACTAGATTTCTGATGTTGTTGGCATTTTTATCTTCTTTTTTCTTTCTTTCCTTTTTCCTTAAAAAAACTATTTTGAGTGCTGGTCACTGCAAAGAGTGGCGGTTTGATTTGATTTTCTAACATGAATTATGATGAACTGCACACGCTTTCCGACTCTAGTGGTTTGTCATCAGTGAATGTGTTTACGTGTGTGCGCGTGCGTTTGTGTGCTTGCGTTTGTGTGTGTGTGCGTTTGTGTGTGTGTGCGTGCGTGTGTGTGTAGTATCAAGAGTACATAACGTACTCTTGGTGGTATGCAGGGTTCTAGCCACGTGAAAGTAGTGTGTGTGTGTGTGGGGGGGGGCAGAGCTAACTGTAGCCCTTTTTTTCCATTTTCCAAGAAATCTTGCCATGCAAAATGCAACGTAGGGCCTAGGGGTGCGAACTAGGGCCCGGTGTAATATGCCCGAAACTTTGCACTCTGTCTGCTGGGTCCCTCCCCGCCTGCCATCCACTTGTGTGTGTGGCAAGGCATTTAACACCAGCCATGCTCTTTCGTGTCCAACTGGTGGATACCCGGCTCTCCGCCATAACACGATCCGCGACCTGACCGTCAGGCGAAATTACTGGTCAGTCGGCGACACGCATTTTTCACAAAAATTTGCGTTTCACCTGCTGGGAGAGTATGCGTGTACTCGAGTCTCATCCTGAGCACGTTTTTTTCTTCTTTTTTTCAGCTCCAGTATAGCTGTATTTTTCATTGCAAAGCCGTCCTCGATTGTTGTGTTCGTTGTTCAAACGAAGTGGACATTCAATCATGAAGGCAGAGGACATAGGAGCCTGATTGGAGTTTCTCGTGGCATAGGACGGCCACACAGAGACACTTTGGGATTTTCTGAATATAAAATACCGTAAGCACGATGCTGAGATCAATTTGTGCGATATCAAATTGTTTGTGATCTACCACATCGAGCAGAACAGGATCCAAACACAAGCTTACCGACGGTTAGGCTGCCGACCTGACTGGACAAATGATCCCTGGCTTCACCAGACGCCAGAAGTCGGACACCATGTCCTTTGCCGCGACGTCCATCTCCAAAAAGAACTCCATCTTCGTCGTGAAAAGGCTTGAAATACTCAATATTCAACCGAGATTCGCGGTCTCACCCTTTCTCAGATCGAATCATTTTTTGTTGTAGCAGTTGCAGGGCAGATCCCCGCCACTACTTCAACAGAAGATGGCTCCAAAGCATGCCTGGAACAAGCCATATCGAGGTTGCAAGCCACCCCTCTCAGCACTTTTTTGGAAGAAATTCGAAATTTCAATGGTGGAAGATATACTATGAAGAGATTTTCAAAAAGTATGTTTCGCGGAGCGATCGCTCAACCTACGTCATTCAAACTTTGCAGGATGGTTCAGACGTACATGCTAGGCATGGAACCACAGAAGATGATTATCATAGCTGACACACAGAGTCACACACACTGCAGATTTGTGTGCACAGATACTAAATTAGTGGACGTCGTCATCTTCTTCCCGCTGATCTCAAATGTACTATGACGTGCTATTTCGCCTGACGAGCCGACCTACTGCGTGAAGTGGCAACGGATGTGAAGATAGAACCTCCTCTGCAGCCCCTGGAGGGTGAAAGGCTC